TTGCTGTTGTTGTTGTTGATGATGTTGATGATGTTGATGCTGTTGTTGTTGTTGTTGATAGTGATAATGATCCTGATAACGATGGTTATTTCGAAAAAGACGGTGCTGCTGCTGATGATGATGATGACGATGGGTTTGGCAGTTGAACAACAAGCCGTATTTTGCGATCTGAAATGAAGTTAAAACAAAAGCATGCATTTTTTTATTGTTATTATTATTATTCAACAACAGCAACAACAGCAACAACAACAATAAAAACAACAACAACAATAATAATAATAATATCAAACAAACAACATACGAAAGAAAACTCCCTGGGACAATTTATTGAACAACATAACACGGAACGCACCTAGTCTTATAAATTGTACAACGTACATACAAACATACAATATACATACATACATACATACATACATACATACATACATACATACATACATACATACATACATACATACATACATACATACGAACGTACGTACATACATACATACATACATACATACATATATGTATGTATTATCTTGTATTATTTAGTTTTATTGCCTATACAGTTCAACGCCATACAATTGATTTATCTGCGGATGACAGAGTCATTACATTAATTAGTGTGGTTGTTGTTGTTGTTGTCACGTGATGTTGTTTTTGTTGTTGTCACGTGTTGTTGTTGTTATTGTTGTGATAAGAATAATAATAATAATAACAATAACAATAATAATAATAGCAACAGGATGCTTAATAATAAAACAGATATTTTTCAGGCTGTTGATTTATTTTCATTCATCCGTTTCTCATCAATCACTCCACTAACTTCATCATCATTATCATCACTGTCGTCGTCATCGTCATCATCATCATCATTAAAAAGTCATAAAAAAATATCCAAAAAAGTCGAAGAAATTAATAATAGTAATAAAAATAATGTTAACGTTAATACACAATTATCATCATTATCGCTATTAATATTATTGTTGTTGTTTTTGTGTTGATGTTGTTGTTTTTTTGTTGTTATTGTTGTTGTTATTGTTTTTTTGTGTTATTGTTGTTGTTGTTGTTTTTTGTTGTTGCTGTTGTTGTTATTGTTGTTGTTGTTGTTATTATTGTTGTTGTTGTTTTGGAATGGTCGACAACGACAAAAAAATTGCAATCAATCATTTTGAAGCAGAAAAAGTTTTTTCGCCGACGTTCTGCGTTAACATTTTTTGGCATAAGTGTCGTAAGGTTATGATGATGATCTTTTGTTGTTATTTTTGTTGTTGTGGTCTTTCATTCATCCCTCCCTCCATCCATCCATCCATCTATCCATCCATCCATCCTTCCATCCATCCTTTCATCCATCTATCTTTTGTTGTGGCTGTTGTTGTTGGTGTTGCTGTTGTTTTAGTTGTTCTGGTGTTATTGTCGTTATTTTCATACTCAACAAAATGTTAAAAACATCCATGGTATCAACATCAACAACAACAACACTACTATTACTATTATTACTACTACTACTACTACTACTACTACTACTACCACTACTACTATAGCTACCACTACTACAACTACTAGTACTACTACTACTACAGCTACTACTACTACAGCTACTTTTACTACTACTACTACTACAACTACTACTACTACTACAACTACTACTACTACTACTACTACTACTACTACATCCTTTTGAATGAACGATAATGACGGCAATTTATTTGATATTCCCTTATTGTTACACCACTTCCGTTAGCCATTTTGTAACCTCACTTCCGGTTGCCATTACGTTACATCACTTCCGGTTGCCATTTTGTTACAGCGGAGTTCATTTGCGCGTAGCAACTCGAAAAACGCGTTTTGACAATTAAAAAGTCATTCGGTCCTCTAAAGTAGTTCCATACGCAGTCGTTTGTATGTATTTTATTATGAAATAATTAATTTCTTGCATAATAATTATTTTTTATTTTCTTTATTTATAATATAAATTATGTTTATTTGTTTTTTTTTAATGAAATTAACGTTGAGCCAGTTCCTTTTATACGCGTTATTTTAAAAATAATGAAGACTAATTTGATCTTTTACAACGGCGAAATGTGCTTTTAAAAATTTTAATTACTACATTTACTGCTGCTGCTGCTACTACTACTACAGCTACTACTACAACCACTACTACTACTACAACAACTACTACTACTACACTACTACTACTACTACTACTACCACTACTATTACTACTACTACTACCACCGAACAAAAGTATTTTTCAATCACAATAGTTGGACAAATAAAAATCATTAGCTCTAATATCAATTACGACTCAAAGATCGTAAATATAATGAAAAGCACTAATATAAATTACTACTCCATTATATTTAATTATTAATTTATTAATTTATTTAGGATCTTTTTTCTCCTCTAGACTTCCGGCGACCCGCTGAAAATAATGATAAGTTAGAGTTTTATGGTGCCATTATAAAGCGATTAGGTCTCGACAATGAAAAAAAGAATCAAGCAAAATAGTAGTAGTAGTAGTAGTAGTAGTTGTTGTTGTTGTTGTTGTAGAATAGTAGTGTGTGTGTGTGTATGTGTGTGGTGTAGAGAGAATGTATTTTTGATTAATGCATGGCATGCGAATTTTTGATCTGACTTATTGATATCTATATGGGTGCGCATTCAT